ATCGCGAAACATAACAGGTATCAAAGAATACATTTTATCAATGGCCCGTTACAAAAAATCCTATTGTATATTTCTACGACTTTCTTTCGTGTCGTCCCTTTGTTACGTAACCTGCAATTCTTTGCCTATCAGTTCCATGCGCTATTTGAAAAGTTTTTATTCCAACATCATTAAAACCTTTTGATAGGACAAATATGAAGATAAGGTGTTTTTAAAGGCATTACAAAAAATCGTCAAATTGAAATTGAAGTATATTTGTATGACAGTGTAGTGAAATTATCATTTTATAATTCTTTGAAAAATTGTATACACTTTAAATGCATAAAGATACACAGTGTAATAATTATGATTAACGGTAAGACTTTTAGAAAAATAATAGAAGAAAACTATTAGATGCACAATAAATTGGAACAGCAAAAAATAAAAGCGAAAGGTATGAAAAGGAGCAAATTGAGGAAAGTGCTCATAATAGAAGTGCTAAGTGCAGTAATAAATTGCAGTAGACTTCATAAATGCTAATAAATATTCTATAATAGACACGAATGAAATTGATTTTGAAAATTACGTAGCAAGTAATGATCTAGTTAGATGAAGTAATTAAAAGGACATCGACAATTGGTAACCTTCTGTTTTAATGAAACTTTCTTCGTAATATATTTTAACATAATTTTTAATAGATATATATTTTTGTTTGGAAACATATCTTAATTATTAAGTTTTATAACTAAAAATATATTTAATAAGGAATACTCATACAAAAAATATTTAACTGTAAATAATATATTTCTTTCTCTTAAAGTGGGAGTTCAATATGTTAACATTAATTTGTAACAATTATTTTGCCCCAATAACCGTATAAAAACTGCAATGATTAAAACATCAAATATTATTTCATCTTCTTTATTCGCTGGTTTTGTCTCCAACAGATTTCCATGGATTTAAGTACTTATTTTATAACAGACAAGATGAAAATTGAAGGGAATTTAAAAAGTGCAGTACAGAAATTCTTTTCACTGGCGGAAATTAACTTCTATTATTAACGGATAAACGGCTTAGCTCATTGTTGAAAAGAATGTATAAGATAAATACAATGACAGAACCTGCAATGAAAAATTTTACTTCAAATTTAAAATACATTCTTTCTATTTATTGTAAGGTCTTCATAGTAATAACCACCATAGTATTAATTTCAAATCGAATGGATCGACTTTTCTTAAGTCAAGGTTAAATGAAGGTTATCATAAATATATGACGCTGATAACGTCACATATATATATATACGTTAATAGGTTAATATAATATTCTTAATTTTTTCTAATTTTCCACAATATAATACATACAATATAGTTCTATAATAACAATGTATAGTAGAATTGGAAAACAAAAAATCCAAACATTCTCCCCATTCTAACAAAACCATACGAGGAACCAGTAACTTCCAACCAAAAAATTACTGTACTTCGATCCTCTAAACAATGTTCTCAATTTTTCTATTAGAAAAAATTAATAAATAAAAGTTTGCCTGTATCAAACACAAATAATGTCAATGTTATTTCAACATGTCACTCCAATTATATTGCACCGAAATCGAATATTGAATTTTATAATTTTCCTATACCAAGTTGAATGGCGACTGTGAATCGCCCCTCAGGTCCAAAGGGGTTAATAACACGATACGTCTATAATGAAGCCCCGTTAATCGCAAACGACGAACGATAAATTCTCCAAAACGGTCTCGGATGTTCGCTGGAGTCGAATAGAATCGAATCTTCGTCTGGAACGGCACGATCGGTTTTACGGGTAAGGTTCTATTTGGCGCGCGACTCGTGTACGAGTCAAAATAACTTTACGAGCATGCGAGGCGTAAAGGCATCAAAGCGGAACGAGACGCAGCCGGCCAAGATTGCTTCCCGTTTCGCTTCGCCCGGGAGGATTTGAAGATTCGCCGTGTCGCCACGGCTGCCACGAATTACCTTTCATAAAGCAAAACCGCCTCCCCCTTGTTTTTCTCCACCTTTTTGGTTATTCATTCACCAAGGGGGCGGCGAGCCAGCGTTTTCCGCGACGCGTTTCCGCCAATAGGAAAGGAGTGTCGCGCGGGTGTAACGGCCGGCCTCGCACAGAACGACGAGGAAAGGGAGAAACAGTTTCCCCGGGGTTTCTTTTTTTTCACTTTAAATGGCGCCAGTGAAGATTGAGCCTTTAATGCGTCACGCCTGGGACGAATTGCCTCTTATAAAGAGGCGTTCTCCTCCACCACTTGTTCTCCCTCCTTGATTAATCATCCCCCCGGAAGAGCCATGCTGTCTCCTTACTGCGAGGATTGTTTCAACTAGAACTCGGGGACCAGCGGAACACGTTTCAAAGGGGGAAAAACGTACAGTGTGTTTCGATTTTTCATCCTTTGACTCTTCAAGGACTGGAAGGGTCCATTGGACTCATTTTTACGTTTACGTTTGTTCAAGAGTCTTTCACTGGTCATTAGAGTTCTCAACTGGCACGTATAAGGAATTCAAAATATCTATACTATTTATTCAATTTTGTAAAATCAAAGAATTAAAGAAAAAGATGATAATGTAACGTATATAAACACCTTTTTGTAACCATTTTTTGTATATGGATCTGTTGGACAGTACTTCTACGTTAACTTTCTTTGTGCTCCTTTTAGAATCAACACTTTGAGTGCCCGAAACAATATTTCTTTTAAGAGTTGAAAGTAAATTTTCCAGGTGACACATCGAATTTACTAGAAAGAGTTACTATAAAAGGTCTTGACTTCTCAGGTATCGTTTGGTTAAGAAAATTGTTTCCATTGTATGAAATTTTGATGAACGTCGATTCAACAGTCGACGTGCCAATCTCTTCATGGATACTGTCACATATATATATATATATATTTGTATATGTGAATATTTTCTTTCTTTTCGTATATTTTTCATAATTATCCTCGTCCGTTTTTTATACAATTCAACTTGTATCTATCTGAATAATATAAATTGCAATTAAGTAGAGACTGAAAACATCTCTGTCTATTTCAGAACGAAAATCATGTTCTGGAGAAGCTAAGGTACTACACGAAATAATGGGGCGTTTTTCGCCTTTCGCTTCAACGCAGAATATACACACCCCCAATCGCATTTTGTCTAGGTGCAAGCGTTATACTAAATTCTAGCACTTTTCGGTTTTTCTGAATAAACTACTCGGATCCGTCGAATATTTTATTCGTCAAGACTACACGCCGTTCGTGTTCCGTGTTTACTTTCGTGCGAAACGGAACAGTATTTACGAGCACGCTGTGAATGCCGCGCATTTATAGCAGATGCGAATGGAATAGAGCGTTCTGATACGGTATAATTCTTTGCGAGAGCATTCTGTTTGGAAGTGGAAGATTTAGTTCATTTTGAGAAGAAGTATACATAACGTAGGATAGAAGAAATCTAACTGATAACGTGATAAAAGAGGCAAAAGTGCACTTAAACCGATATAATCACGGAACGAACAGTTAAATTGCTTAAGTAGGAAAGACACTTTTTGTTCAATTTCAACCACTTATTTTGACTGAGAGAAATAGTTCTATTTTCCATATTTAATTGTAGGACAAAAATTGAAAAAAGATTTATTATAACTATTTCCTAAAAAATAATTACTCGAAAGATATTGCACGATACTAATGTGCTCGACCGTTCCTCGGTTTATTCAGTTTTCGTTAATCATACGTAGAGTTTGAATATTCATTGAAATATTTAATTTTCACAAATATTTTATTATCCGAATATTCGGGAAAAATCCATGTAATACTTTTTTTCCAATTCCAACCCCTGTTTGTTCACGCACGAAGTTAATATCGATTATTAGAATCATTTGAATATCGGGCTGCGGATTACAAGGCCGTAAGCAGATTCATTTTAAAAGAAAAGAGTACAGCTGCACTTCGCAGACTCTTCGTTGCACCTGCGACAGGAACAACGTTGCGAAAGTTGGACCGCATGGCGACACTCACCTTTTTCCTCTATCGCGTTGTTTTATTTTCATCGGACAAAGAAACTCCCTTATCTAATTTTGCGCAACAGACATTTGTGTACAGAAGTTTTTCCTTCGCTATCATTTGTTGGAAGATGGAAAACAAATTGAGCAGTCGTGTTAGAATTTATTAAGCTAAACAATTTTTTTTTGTCTGATTATTTGCGAGTTTTGTTTTCTCATTGCTTTCTTAAATATGCAATATTTCTGCCAGAAGGTTTAGCACGTCAATCTCTTTAATTTCCAATGTAATGGAAATTTTATCCACGATTCGAGATATGAAAATGATCCATTTTCAAATATATAGAGATACCTGATGTACGTCTTACACAAAAACAAATTTATAAAATAGAAAAATTTCAAAAAATGTCATATATTAATAGTAAGTCATCATTACAAAGAAATAATATCAAAGAATTAAATTTTTGCTCCATTATAGATTATAGTTACTTTTAATTTTGATCAAAAAGGAGATTTCTGACAGAATACCATGCCCTACACTTCTAATTAGAAATTGTACAAAACACAATTATTGTATAATTAGCATACAAAACATCGCTTTCAAATTTATTATACACCGATACACGTCCATTCTCTGTCAAATTTCATTGAAAATTGATACACAGAGAACGTCGCAGGAGAAAAATCAAATTAAGCAGAATATTCGAATAGAAACGCGAAGAATGATCCTCCCGCGAAAAACAACGTCCACGTCGGTGTACGAAACTCCTATGCAGATGCACGCTAATTTGTTTTGGTAGAACGAACTATTAATTCTTAATTAAGCCGGCGCACAACTCCCGCCCTTTTGGCAGCTCGTACTGGCTGGCTTCACCTCATTGAGGGGCCTCGTGATATATCGAAACTTGGCCGAGCTTCAACTACAAATGATTGGGAGGAGGATGGAGGAGGTGGACGAGAGTGAACAGCGTTATAATAGCAATGGTTGCGTCCTCTCGACCCATTTCGGATCGAAGCGCGTCCGTGCGACGGAGATGACACGCCGGGACCATTTTGTGGACGATAAAAAAGCCCAATGAAATAATAAAAAAAAAGAGAGAAAACGGAAGAAAAAAAAGAGGGCTGGAGAAGCTGAAAAATAGAGCCGCGCAACTCGCGGGACAGGTTATGTACATAGGCGTAGCACATAGAGCGATGAACAGAAATCGAATGTTCTGTGAAAAAATCGGGTTCACGGTATGTACGTTCATATGTACGGGTCTCGAGGAACGTTTGTATTTCGTATTTTATGGTGATGAGTTCCGAAAACGCGAAAATTTTCGCCTACCTGCGTGACGTATCCTGTTTCGAAGGATTTTTATATATTTTTCAGCCGGCCAAAATGGAAATCCATCAAAATGCGTTAACGTTACACATGCGTTATAATTGAATATCCATCGAAAGATCCGACGCCGAAGAACTCCTGTCGTCGGTTTTATTGTTAACAATAAAACTATCGAGCAATTAGAATGACTTATATCCAATTTTTTATACAAATTAGAACAATATGTTTCTTGAGATTCGATGGGTTTCGTAGTTTTGTATATGTACAAATACAAAAGTTTACTTAAAAATCTTTCGGAAAATCGCCTTTATCATTGAAATACTTGCAAAATAAATATTCTGAAGTGGGTCAATTTGACCCGTCTGGTAGTTTTAATGTTAACACGTTCGCTACCAGCGTTGTCTGTTTGCGGTGATCAATGTCGCATATTTTATACAAAGGAGAGTAAATTAGATTTACACGCGTTTTTATCTAAATTTGTATGGTACAATACGGAGTCGCGGAAATACTTTTTTTGATTATTATTTGTATTTTGTAAGAACGACGTGTTTTATTTAATAAAATATTGTTACCGCGGACGCTGTCATTACAAGAAATGCTGATAGCAAATGGGTTATCTATTGTTATTTCGGTAGAAAATTCGGTGAAAATAAGCTAAATTATTATTTTGGTGGACGCGAGACAGAGTCGCGGTTTAACTCGCTGCATAAATTATGCTGATGTTTTATTGGACAGAATGGAAAGATGTTGTATACTCTGGGAAATTGTCTCCATAAAATCTATGCGGAGGAAGACACTACAGATATCACGCTAAGTAGACAGCTGTCTTCAATCAAATTCATGGGTGAGATAATCCTTTTGGGTGCATTTGATGCGCATTTCTTATGACTTATGACTGTTCATACTTGGAGTACGAAAATGCATACGAAAGTGAGTGGCCTCTGAAATAGTTACTTTAGAGGAAAATGTTTTTGGAGAAAGATGTTTATTAAAGGCTACAAAAAGATAAAGAAATTACATACAAAAATTGTAGTATAATTTCAGGAAATAAATAATTCAATAAGTCAATAAATTAGTTATAATTATATGCTACATCAAATAAGATATATTGTATTATTTTTACTTAAAGAACAAGCACAATTGAAAAAATACAGCAAGAGTGCAGAGTCTCATTGATTCCAAGCGGTGTCCTGCTTCGTTCCAAAATTTCGGACAAAGCGACAGAAGTTTGACAAGATACATACCGCCGATACATCTTCGTTGCCTCCCTGATGTCAATTGCAAGAGGAGATTAAAGTAAACGAAAGAAACTGGAGTTAAAACAAAAACAGTAGCAACTAGGTCATACCGAAGTCGAGGGAGAATATTGTATTCCCATAGTGTCTCGATCTCATCTAAAATTGGATTGTAATGATAAAACTTGATCAAAGAACAGAACAGAACAGAAGGGATGAAGATGTTCTAGATTAACTATATTTGAACATTCTGATTTCATGATGGGACAAGAAGTAAGCCTGTCTCAGGTTGGCTTTTACGAGCTAGTCTGTCGCTCACCGTGACAGACCAACTGATCTTCAGATTGACTTTTCCTATTTATACGCTCCTAATTGCGTACACTCGCGTCAGGGTTAGCCAACTTGTTAAGATTCTATCTTACATATGACTTAAGGCTACGTCTTCTATTTTTTATCATTCTGCGTAGGTCGATCTGTAAATGTGCAATCGCTGAAAAATACTTCATCTTGCGTCTGGCACAAAAAGAATTCGTTTTTCCCTATTGACAAAAAGTGTATCGCGTGTAGTGGTTGAGATTAGTGCTGTCGATCGTTTTTTAATAACATCGAAACGAAGCTAGCTTCACTTATTAATTTCGCTTTTAAGCGTCGACAAAGACACAGCGATAAATATTTACAGAAAATGTGTATGGACAAAACAAATAAATGAAAATTGACTGAAAACGCAGTCTATCATTTTATCCTTTATCATCGGTTTTATATTTTACGATAAATATACCTTCAAACACCATCATCATTTATTCAAGCCTTTTTAATTAAAGATTGGAAAATCCATTATAAGTGGAACAAATGATATAATATTATCCAGACAGACGAAATATTACGTTCATTGTGTTATACACGCTCGTAATAAGTAACCACGAACATTTCACTCGGAAAGGAACAAATATTCGTTCAATATACCTTTGATTTCGTTCTAAAAATAAAAATATTATACATATTCTTCGCAAATGCATTACATATTACATTCTTGAAAATATAAACCACATATCGTGCATTAAATATTCAGGAGCCAACAACCAAATTAACATTTCTAATTAAACGGACGTTACACCGTACTGACATTAGAACTTTCATTCCATTTTTCATTCCGGCTGCCCGAAATGCATTCTCTCGCCAGGTAAATATAAAAACGTGTCAGTTCCCGTTGCCTCAGCGAAATCTAGTATCGACGGTGGCCACGACACCCGTGGTCCGTTTATTCGTTTTGCTTACGCGGAGGCAGAATAGGATCACGTTCGGTATTACGTAGCGATAACATCGAGATAGCGAACATTTCCAATCAAAGGAA